CTACTTTGAATGTGTGATCATTTTGGTATTTGAGATTTTAAAAAAATGGAGGAAAACTTCATTTAATTCATTCAGAGCCTGTAATGTGCCATGCCAACAGTGAACAAAACCTCTACTCTGCCAATACCTTAGTTCCAGCAATCATCATTTATTGTCTGGATTACTCTTAAGGTCTCCCTGAGCCTAGCCTTGCCTGCCACCATCTAACTTTCTACACAGCTGCCAAGTGTTCTTTCTTAAATACAAGTCTGATTATATTGCTCATTCAGTAATTTCCCACCGTCCTCAAGGTAAAGTCAATCTCAGGAGGTATACGTACGTAGCCTTTCATAGACTTGTCATGGCCTAAAAAGTCTGTCTCATCCCTTGCCAGTCTCTGCCCTCACCTCCAGCCTTCCTTTTCAAGGAACACTTTGCACTTTCCCAGAAATCTCACAGATACTCAAGTTAGTCCTTTGGCCACTCCAACGACTTCCAAAATTGCCCAACTTCCTCAAGACAGCTTCCTAAATACCTTGTTCCCTGATCCCAAATATGTATTAGATGCTCCTTCTATACTCAGTCCCCAAATCTGAAAATATTTAATATTTATATTGTATTTTTTCTACATTTCTAATTATAAAAGGCATGTTTGCTGAAAAAATAAATTCTGAAAATATATCATAAAATGATGGATAACCACCTCCACCACATATAATCACTGCTAAAATTTCGATGTATCTCTATTCTCTCCATATAACTCCATTTATGAATCTAAGATCATAATACACACTGATTTGTAACTTTCTTAACGCTATATCCGAATCATTTTTCCATGTAGACACATATTGATTTAAATCATTTTTATTGGCTGCACTATTTTTCATTGTATTAGAGCACCAACTTCTTAACTCTATTCATGGGCCTATGACTTTCCCGTTTGACCCATTATATCCTAATTTCAGTTCTAACATTTTTTAGAGACCTCTGAGGTATCGTTCATTTAAAAAATACCCAGTGCCTGCTGCGCCTGGGTGGCTCAGCTGGTTGGGTGTCCAACTCTTGATTTAGACTCCAGTCATGATCTCCAGATCTAGGAATCAAGCTCTGCCCCTCAACGGGCTCAGAGGGGAGTCGGCTTGAGATTCTCTCTCCCTCTGCGCTCCCGCCCTTAGAGGCTGGCCCTCACTCTCTAAAAATAAATAAATCTTAAAAGCAAACAAACTCCCAGTGCCTGGCACACAGTATTTGTTAAATGAGTTTCAAATAAAGGGTAAACTTAACTTTCTGGTTAATATTGGGAGTTAAATAATCAAACTGTCTTCTACAAGCATCAGGTTCAGTGCGTTATTTTCTTGATCTTATTTGCCAACAGAGTTTGTTGAATTAACCAAAAAAAAGCGGTATGCCTGTCTTAAATTCTTTCTGAAAAAAGGCAAGATATGTGCAAACACAAATACAACGCTATCAAGAACTATGAGACAGGAGCTGGTGTCTTTTCTCGCTGCTGCAAAGGAAGAAAGCACACGACCTTGAGACTCCAGCAGGCATAGAGTGGTCGCCGGCTCCCGAGCCCAGGGCTCAACCAAAAAAAGGCACAGGTCGCTGGATACATGGCGGCGGCCGGGAGGCTGTGCCCTCCTCGGCCAGGACCAGTAGTCCTGTTATTTTTCCCAGTCTCCGGGAAGGGGAGGGCGAGAACCCGGGTCCGGTGTTCAGCCGACAGCGAGGGACCGGACCGAAAGTAGTCAAGTCTTGCGATGACCCTGCGCGGAGCTCAGCGACAGCCCGCCGCCCTCTCCCGCGCCTGCGCAGAACAGCGGCCCGCACGGTGGGTTTGTGAGGGACCTTCACCGTGCCGACCTGGTTAAGCGACACTCACCTGCCGAACTGGTTAAGCGGGTACCCTCAGCCTGTGTTCCCCAACACCTAGATCTAAGCACTCCTAAAAACCGATTCCCGGAGTTCAGCTTGCGGCCTCGCCACATCGTGAAAGGATCCACGTCCTTTCCGGTCCCTCCAGCAAAAGATCCCCAACAGAAAGGTTCCGAGATCCACTCTCGCACTGTCTGGAACCAGTCTAACCATGGTTGGCATTAATGGGTGTTACATACGTGGGACTATAATTACTCTTCACGCTCAACTTCCGTCAAATTGCGCATGCAACTATGCTTTCATAAGAGAACTTTAAAAGTCTCTATTGTGCCTATTTTTATATGACCACCTCAAACCTCACGGCCAAAGTAGTCATGAATCCTACTCCGTACTATGTAAACTAGCTTTTGTTCTTGTGTAGTTCTAATTATTTCATATTTAACAGAGGTCTCCCAAAGACATTTATACTCCTTTAAGCCACTGACCCTTAGAATCCCAAATGCATGGAAGCACTTCTTTCCTAAAGGTAGGATTTTTTTTTTCCCCTTTCAAGGCACTCAAATGGCAGAGGGCTAAAAGTCTAAACTGAAAATTTAGATTCTCTAAGTGACCTGGTAATATTCTGGACAGGGCATACATTATGTAGTAGGACTCAAGCTAGACAAGCCACATTGAAAACTAAAACGGTGATCAGTTAACACTTTACTTCTAAATGTACAGAAGCCTTTCCTTGAGTAAAAGCAAGGGTATATTTCCAAGATTAAAGGCAAAAAATCATTGTGCATTTTCAACAGGCAGGGTCAAATTGGTAAAAGGTTCTTTGAATTAGTTAAATTTAATGCTCAGTAATTGTATTTTGTTTATGGCTTCTTAGTAAAATATTGACCTCCTCCTAAGAGTGGCTTAAGATTTTTTTATATCCTCTTCAGAGTTCCTCTCTCAGGACACATGACCATCTCTCCAAATGAAGGCACAAAGCTCTGGCACAAAAGAACATTTAGCATGTGTTATATTTGTTGGAATGACAAATCCAAGGAAAAAGAGTCCAGGTATGATTAAACAGTTTTAAAAGCTTTATTTAAATGTACGTTCTTTGAAGGTACCCCTTCACTGGGCTTCAGTCTTCCCACTACCTTTTCAATTCAGTAACAAAAGCAATCAGTGATTTGCCTTAATACTGACACGAAACAAAAGACTCTTTAATATCCACTAGTTTGGCCCAGATAAGCGAAACTAGCTCATTATACTCTTCTCTACAAACATCAACAATGGCTCTTCCAATGATGCTTAAACCCAGAGTTGTGTTGGTAAGACTAGCAGCTGTAATGTGGCTTATGGCCACTGTTGGGAGAAGACCATTCCTATGGTCTCACCCATGCGTTGTAAATCAGCATCTACAATTTACTATAAAACTAAAAAAATTTAGTATTGTGAAATTCAGTATTTATAAAAACTTTTCTCATTCAAATTAAGGGTAAAGGGCTCCCTTACTGCCAACAGTTTTATCCCTTTGAAATGATATAAAACTACTCAGGGTTTAACTGGTAAATTTTCATATTTACAGAATTCCACGTAAATTGGTAACTTAGGGTAATTTCAATTCATACTACCATAATCAGATTGTGGCAGATTTAATCTTTTGTGTATTTAGAGGAAAACTCTATAGATAATACCTGATAAACCTTTGTGGTATATAATGTAACTCATCACACAAGTTATGTTAAGGGCTAAAAAAGCCTATTTTCTTTAGAGTGTTAAACATCACAACCAAATTCTACTTAAAACTGAAAAACTTAAGGGCTGCAAGCATTCAAGACCTTAGAAATAACCGAATTCCCCCCTTCCACAGTTGAAGAAATTGAGGCTCATAGTGTTTATGTGATTTGCCCAAAATATATTAAGCAGCAGTGAGGATAATCCAAGGGATCTAGTATTTCCATTAAACCATGATTAGTACATTTTAGAAACTTCAATAAATGAAAATAGACTTTAATGTATATAAGAGAAGAAAAACTCCATTTAAATGTAAAGGTTTCCATAAGACAGTATTACAGAACTTGAACCTTATACAATTCCTATGTAAAAATTCCCACATAAAATAAAAAATCTCACCTACTAATTAATTATACTTAGTGTGTTTCTTTGAAGAAACAGTAACTTAGACACTAAAAAAAAAAATGGACTATGTTTGGGAAGTTCACCTATTGTGTATTATATCATTAGAAACAGATGCTAAAAAAAGACATTTTACAATGGCAGAAAACATATACACTGAGATTCCACACCAGTCTTTATTTATATTTTGGGGCCTTCATGAAACAAATCTTATAATTACCTCTTCCAAATTACATTTTCTCTTAATGGTGTGGTTTACCCCCATTGCACAAAAACAAGTATGATTAACACACTAGAAATATTTTAAAAGAGAACCCCGACAATTTTATTAACCAATTCAGACTAATGATTGTCTCAAAAATCGAATCTACTGATTTTCTGGTGATGTCATTTTAGAAGATTTCATAACCAAATTATGTATCTATTTAACTTATGTGTTAGCATTCACATCCCAAATCATGGAAGCCCTATTTTATAAAATCTTACCACTAAGGTAAACATACTTCATTACATGTCAGTGAAATGATGAATTCTCTAAATTACCCATAAAACCTAAAAAACCCAAATATCTAATTATAACACTGATGTATCTACTAATAATCACATATATCATGACTGTATTTTAAAAAATACAGATTTGAATGATAAGAAGCTTGCATATTATGGCAGAGTAAATAAAACTGTCAAATATTATTTTTGGCTCTAGTCATTTGTCTTGCCCAAAAATGTGCATATCATAGCCAACAGAACTTTTCTGTAGAATTTTATTTTGAAAATATTGTTTCACCTGAAGATTGATCTAAAAAACATTTTAAGATATGAAAATGTTATACAACTTATCTATTACAAATTAATCTGATAATTCTGTAATTAGGTACATTGTGTTAGCTCACCTACATAAAAAATATTGCACATTTTCATTTTGTCTCCACATGTGACTGATGTCTAAACTATATAGAATTCCAAACTAAAGTTATTCTGTGAATATCAACTTTATAAATATCAGAACTAAATGCACTGTAAAACAACCATTTTGGTAAACATGCATTTATTCACAGTTGATTTATTTCCTCTAGATAAATGCATAACTGCTCAAAATTATTTAAGAACCTATGTAGAGGTACAAGAGCACACTTAACAAATCTATTTCTAACCTTCATTCTGAAGAAACACTGATCTTGGCAAAAATTGGCTTATTTTAAAATGAACTATTGCTGGTAAGAAGGCATACTTTAAAACTTTTCCGTGACCTGCACCTGCTCTTTTCAAATTAAAATTTAAAAGTATTTGTTTTCAGAGATGTATCTGACTATTGTGGCATAAGTGAATAATCACATAAAAACAGACCCTGAAAGCAGCTGAGCATTTAAATGCCTGCAGAGCCTCATTTTACTTGTAAGTTATGACTGCCTTAAATAGCTAGACCACTCATCATAATTCTAAGAAAGTGACAAAACCAGACCATTTTAATGTCATGAAATTGACACAAACCTGCATAATATGGCACTCCTCCACTGAGCTGAGGTCATATTATACTTTAAAAATATAAATAAATATATTGAATTCTGAGTCTTATTTTTGTAATACCCCCAGTGTTTGAAATATGCTTCTAAAACAGAAGTGGATAACTGCAGAATATAGTTCCAGACTTGACTATTAGTGTCAAACACAATTACTCCTTATAAATGACTCTAATGGTGCACTGGCTTGATTGATTCCAGCAATTTCATTGTACAGAAGTAAACCATACTTTATATACAGAGAATATATTACTTGAAAATCCTCAAAATAGGAAGAAAAGTTTAGAAAGCTGTCAAATGTTTCCAAATGAAAAGTAAAGGTCTATTTTTGGCTCTTTTCCACACCCTTAAAGTTGGAATTTGACAAAAATCCATGGGTACAATTTACAAACTTTGACAAACTATTAAGTTAAAACCATTTTCTTTGGGGAAGATGAGAGGAAGTACCTTTAAAACCTGTTATACAAAATTCCAGCTGCCTTTTTATAAAAGTACGTTCCTTAGATTAAAATCATAAAATTAAGGTGCAAGAGGTTAACAAAAATGAACTGAAGAGCTTTATTGACATCACAGTACATTCAAGAATAATTTTAAGAACATTACAGCTGAAAGAGAATGGCATGTTTATAGTCTTATTAAGCACTATTTTTTGAAAAAAATGTAATACAAAGAAATCCTATTAAGTAACTTGGAGCAGCATTTGGAAAAAGTACACCTATTTACAGATTAAAAAAAAAAAAGATTCTGGTTTCACCTACACAGCCACAATGTGCCTCTATAATGAGACAAGCCCTTAAAACTCATGGAATTTTTTTAAACATCATGGCATTCTTGCCACATCATTCCTCAGCGTTTACGACGGGGAGGGGTTGTTGATCTGAAAAAAAAAAGGGAAAAGACAAATTTAAAAATAAAAATGTATTTTACACTAAAGAATCTGCAATTTTTAAATAAATATTATTATATAGGATTTCTAAAATTATTTAAGACTATGATCATTTATCAAGTACCAAACTGAGTTTATTAAAGAGAGAGAGAGAAAGGACACTTTCAACTTTGAATAAATTCAGTCAAATTTTTTTTAAAAATCAGACAAAATACTTTAAAAAGTATACTACCTTGATCGGGACTTAGACTTGTGTTTGCGGCTTGCCTTCTTACCAGACCTTTGAGATTTCTCCATGGATCGCGATCGACTATGTTTAGGCTTCTTAGCCTTCTTTTCTTTGCTACTTCCTGGAGATTCAGAACTGCTCCTTCCACTAGAATCAGAGCCTGAATGTTTTTTGCTATCTTTGGTAGTACTTTTCTTACTATCCTGTCTAGAATCATGTCTGATAATTTTAACAGATATAGAACCACTCCTAGAGAATGTTCTTTCACTTTCTCGTTTCCTTTTTAACCTATCATCCTGACTACTGAACTTAAAATCTTTTTCTTCCCTTTTTTGTTTCTCTTTTCTTTTATCCTGTTCACGTTCCCTTTCTTTGTCTTTCTTTTTCCTATCTTTATCTATACTTCGGCTCCTCTCCTTTTTTCTCTCTTGTTCTTTAGCCTCACCTTTATGCTTATGACTGCTCCCACTAAGATTTCCACGTTGATCATCAATTTTACGCCTATCTCGACTCCTACTGCGACTGGACCGATTGGTTCGCCTATCTCTTGAGCGACTTCTACTTCTACGTCTCTCTCGAGAAGGACTCCGATTTCTTCGTCTTTCTCTTTCAATGCTATTTCTATTAGATCTCCTCCTATCTCTAATCTTTACTCTAGCCCTATTGCTCTCTATTTTAATTCTGCGAGAGTAACTTCTACTTCTACTCCGTCTAGCTTTAATTGTTGGAGATCTACTCCTACTATGTCTTTTTTTCCTTTTAGGAGAAGAAGATCGAGAAGAAGTACGACTACTACCTGAGCTAGAACTGTATGAAGAGCTAGAGACAGTACTACTAGTACTACTAGTTCTGCTATTGCTACTGGAACTACCACTACTAGAACTTCCTGATCTACTCCTTCCTTGTTTCTCTTTTTCTTTATGCTCTTTTTTTGGTTCTAAAACTGACGTAGTTTCATTTGGAGTTCTTTTCTTTTCATTAACCACATCACCGTCTGCTTCTCTTGCTTCTAGTAGTGACAAACTATTTTGCTCTTTATGGATAAATTCATTCATCTCTTTTGTAACCCTTTCTGTTTGTTGCTTTTCTTCTGAAACAGAAAAAGACAAAAATACTATTAAAAGTCAAATGTATAAAGAAAAAAACTCCCAAACTACCAAATTTCAAGCTATTAGATGGTGTGACAGTAAAACAGCATTCTTCAACAGAAACAGGATACAAGCCATAGAAGCAATTCAAAATTGTCTAGTGACTACCTTAAAAAAAGAGATGAACTTAATTTCAATAGTTTGTTAGCCCAATATATCAAAAATATTATCATTTCAACATGTAATAAATTTAAAAGAATACTAAGATATTCTGCCTCATAAAATCTTTCAAATCTATTATGTATTTTATACATACTTACAGCATATTTCAATTTAGGGTTAGCTACATTTCAAATGCTCAATAGCTACATGTAGTTAGCCATGCTCCTAGACAATACAGCAACAGAGTACCAGAGTGTAAAGGTACATTTGAAGCAATCTGAAAAGATTTCCCTTTTGCCCCATAAGGCAACTTAAAGGTAAGTAAGTAATTTATAGGGAATTTTCAACTGCTAACTCTTAATAATTAATTCTTAATTATTCTTAATTATGCTAATTCTTAATAATTACCTTCCCAACTGTCCAAGTATGATTTTTCCAAAAACTTCAAAATACTCTTTCAGTCAGTATTCCTAATATTCCTAATATCATTAAAGAACTACAGTCATATACAGTATTTTGCATAAAAAAGCTTCTATTAAGTCCTCTTTTTATTTCCTTAAATATACTAGCTACACATTAAATATCCTAGCAACAAATTACTTTTCAATAGTTTTACAAATATATTTCTGCCATTTCAAAAGCCTTTTTTCATTTTGAGAACTTTAGAAAGAAATAAAAATACACTGTATCTTAATTTACAGCTAATGAAATTAATGTCTTACAAAACAAGACAAAGTTTACCTTTGTAAACTACACATTTTGAATACTACAACTAATTTTGATAAAAACTACAAATAAGCCAGAACTCTTAGTCTCAGTTACATCACATATTATCTATATTCTAACCTTAATTCTATCCTTGATATTGTTAGGTTGGTTAAAAAAATAAAAACACAATCAAAACTAGACAAAAATTAAGGGAGTCTAAAAGCTATACCTTCCATCTGTTTATCATGTAACAGCTGCTGTTCTTTTTCTTTTCTCCAAAAAGCTTCCTGTTTTTGCCGGATTCGGTGCCGTAATTCCTCATCATCAGTGTCAGATGACTCAGAGCCTCTGTCACTCCTCTCATCTTCACTGTCTCCTGATCCATAACCACCCAGTCCACCTGTGTGCATAAAGCCCAGTCTATCATATGGAAAAGTTATTCTATACACTAAAAAATTTTTAAGGTCCGAGAAGAAAGCTAATTTCTTTTTTAATTGCCTTTTCTTGGAAGAATATACTTATTCGGGGTGGGGAGGAGTATAAATTTCAATTCTTAAGGCGTTCATAAATCCCTCCTGGAAATTAAAAGAATCTCATTCTTTCTGGAGTATTTCATATATTTCTCACCACAAAGGAACCGTGATAATGATTTTGTTTTACTGTTCACCCTAACCAACAAAACCATTTAACAGGGCAATAACAAAGCCTCACTAAAGCACAGTCAATTCAACTACCAATGATCCTAAAAGTATTTCTAAAATTAATTCTTTCATTGTTCAAAGCTCAGAAATCCCAGGTAGAATGCAAAGTATTTTTTCCCTAGAAAAATTAGAATACTGTAATTCTCACTGATCAGAAATGGTATGGTGCTAAAACTACTCCCCACCCTGAAGTGACCTAAATAGTAATCATCACAAAATCACAAGGGCATTTGGTTCTACCCATTTCTGTTGGTCCCCACAAAGATTAATTTGATATGATGTGGAAAAGGCACGTTCAAGCTTTTATATACCTGAGAATATACCATGCAAAGAGCAAATTATGAACACATCACTACTATTATACTATGATACTATAAGATAAACTCTTTTCCTCTGTGTTAAAACTCGACTTAACTGTAACACAATCTAAATAAAGGTGCTTAAAAGCATTAGTGGATAGGTTCCTCCCTAAAGCATGTATGCAATAGTTTTGAAAGTGAGCTTAAATATTATCACAGCTAAATTATGAACTATTACAACTTGCCCCAATAAACTATGAATTAGTCACATTTATAATGATTTATAATAATCCCTCTGTGAATGCTTTAGTCAAAAAAATAGGCAAACCTTTTAGAGACTGATATAACCCTAAGACCTAGGTTTTATAAACTGAGTAGGAATAGTACAGTTTCAAAACAGAACATGTAGAGAGACAAGGTAAGTGTGAGTTTCCCTTTAAGGCCCTCTCACAAATAAGGAAAACACTTACCGAGTCCAGTGAGGGAAGCCAGTGCACTGGACTGTGCCAGCTGTTTTGCAGGAGCTTTGTATCACATCAACAACAGGAACAACATGTTAACACAAATAGCCACGATTTCATAGTCATGAGAGTCTATGGTATTGTTAAATCTACTACTATTGCTGCTTTTTGGGGAGAGAAGAAACATTAAAAACATAACATTCACTTTAAACCAGTATCATGTCTGGCCTTGAAATTATAATTCTGAAGTGAGCTGAAATTGGTTTATAATGATGAAAATGTTGACCAGTACATCAAGTATTTTATTTTTGAGGTATGGTCCATAATTTAATTTTGCTTTCAATATATTTTGTAAGTGTTACTAAAAATGGAGAGGATGGGTGAATTTCTTGCTTCTGTAAGAACTACAAGTGGTAAACTGTGAAAACTGAAGCTTCATAATTCAATTCATTAGTGAAACTAAACTGTATTAGAAGTTATATACCAATACCATGGTATCTATAAAAAAACAAAATCAGGTGAAATAAATTGAACATCAAGAATTTTTCCACTATACATTTTACAGAACAACAGCATAACTGCTAATTTGTGCTCAGGCAAGTTGGGTAAAAGAATAATATTTGTATAGTTTTAATATGGTGTCTACAAACCTAACCTTTCCTGGAGAGTTAAAACATGCAAGAAGAAAATATTCAAATATCTGCTAGAATTCAGCAAGGACAACCAAAAAAAGTCCAAAATAGCCACCAAAACCAAAATACTCCCAGAAAAACAAAACCAAGAACACCCACAATATACCTTTCGTTGCTTTCCGGTGTGCATCTTTGGCTACATAATAAATTTCTTCATCTGTGACATCTAGCAGTATTTCGGTCAGAAGCATTTTTGTCAGCAACATCTATGAAAGGATATTTTATGTGTTTATATATATTTATGTATATTATTTCTAATTTAATTATTATAGTTACTAATACAGTTTGATATTCTCAAAAAATTTAATGGGCAAAGCCATTTTATAAAACATTTTTAAAGAAGAGATATCAACCATTCCAAGAAACTGAGTATCTTGAAAATTATTCTAAAATACCAAAACTGGGGTGCCTGGGTGGCTCAGTTGGTTAAGTGTCTGACTCGATTTCAGCTCAGGTCATGATCTCAGGGTTGTGAGATCAGGCCCCATGTCAGCCTTCATGCTGGGCATGGATGAACCCTGCTTAAGATTCTCTCTCCCCCTCAATACCCCTTTCCCTCTCTAAAAATAAATAAAAATAAAAAATTTTTTAAAGTCCTGTACATATGTGGTAAGAAATTTAACATTCTACCATTTGATACTCTTTCTCTTCTTCAGTCATCTCTGGTTCGCTTTGCTCTTCTTGAGGAACTGGAGATGGACTTCTGGTGACCTTTCCACTACTAGCAGCCTCAACATTTTCAGTGTCTTCATCTTCCTCATCACTATCCTAAACACAAGTAATAGTATGGGTAGCCCAAATTCAGGCTTATAATGTAAAATCATTATTTTACACACTCTATTTTAAAACAACAAAATTAAAAAGACTATGAAACAGATATATAAAATTGAAATTTCTCTCTAAATTACATTTTTGTACTACACACTTCATTTAGTAGTATAAAGTGTTACCTGAAAGGATATATAAGATTACAAGATAGCTTATGAGAATCAATTATTTTAATTACTTCTCAAATTTTTTTCCTTAGTCAATTTTGACTTTATTTTATAAATAACCAGAAATATATCATGCCAAGACTGACTGAATTAATATCCATTATATATGATGGTCCTGAAATGAGTGGCTTGTAAAACTTTGGATAAGTGGCCCACATTTATATAATTCAGTGTAACTTTTTAAAACTATAAGGTATTTACCTAAAATCGTACGACTTAAAATTAAAAATCTGAAGTCAGTTTGCAGATCTTAGCTGGCCCTGAAACTCAGTGAAATTTGCTTCTTTTTTGCTATGAAATGCACAGATAAGAAATGAGATGTACTTCAGATGGATGAAATGCCAGCAGTTTGTCTGTTTCTGACTGTAGGCTTTCAGTCCTACTAAGTAAAAGACAAGGTGATCATTGAAATACTAGTTTGGAAAGACTATCTGAATCAGGGGAAGACTATATGGAACAGAAGGCCAAAGGCATTTGGGAGGAGAGGGAAGATAATCTCCAAACAATTTTTTGACACTTAAACCTATTAAATCTGGAAATCCACTATTTCACCTAAAGAGTTAAAAATTACAAAAAAAAAAAGAACTTTAATAGTGGCAGTCTTTTGGTTCTTCTTTGTCTTCAACAAAAACACATCTTTGGCATGGTTCTTTTGTCAAAAGATAAAAGTAACTTACGGCATTTGTGAAATTTAAGCTAAACCAATGTCTGCTTAAATCTAGTTACCCTGCTGTCTCCCTTAGATTTATTTCTGAAGCACAAAATGGCCTTAGGAGGCCAACCTATTTCCAGAGTTGCATACTCGCCAGTGCTGTGGCTATCATGTCATCTGAGAGCACATTACTGCTAAATAAAAAAAATCCTAACCCACTCAATGCCATCTAAATGACGAAGCTTTAATAAAGATTTAACTTTGTTACTTTTAGTGCTGTCAAAAACTATGAAATTTATTACATCCTCTGGTATAAACACACATTTCAATGTTCAAAAAAGGCAGATTTACTTCTCTTTTGCCATTTTAACTTAGTTTTGTCTAATAATCCGCCACTAGGGAATCATTTGTACTGCAACAAGAAAATAGATTCGTTTCTCAAGGTAAGACCTATCTAGCATCCCAGAGAATAACTTCTCTCTGGAAAGAAATGTTTTATAAACTTACTGCCTCTTTTCTCCTTACTCTACCCTCAATAACTACATAAAAACATAATCCTCAAAATACTTACTAAAAGTAATCTCAAGAATATTATACTAATACTTTTCTATAGGCTAAATTATTTATTTCAATAATTTTCACATATAAATCACATGGACTTTCATGTTAAGTGATTCTAACACTTACAAATTTACTTCTCTGAGGTAAACGAGGGCCATCTCCTCCTTCAGCATCTTCTGTGGCCTTCTTTTCTTTTTTGGACAATTGTGAACGTTGTTGCTCCATTCTTTCTTTCTCCAACTTCTTCTGCTTTTCCCGTTCCATTTTTTCAAGACCTTCTCGAATCCAAGCTGGAAGAGTCCTGCGTTTTACTGCATCTGTTTCACAGGAAAAGAAGTATTTCTAAGTTAAGTAAAAATCATAAATGCATGAGTTCCTTATTCTTGAATTTCTATAAACTTTTTATGTAAATTAAATAAAAGAATGCTGGTGCCACTTGAGTACTTATAACTATTATTCTCCAGTAAGACAGTGGTAAAGCAACCCATTAACCATTATGCTTCTCTTTAAGATCATTTTTAATGACAGCAGTGAATACTGTGTTAGTGCTTATAATAAGCCAGGCACTATGAAAGCACATTAAACCATCATCTCGATTTAAAAAAAAAAAAATCACTAATACTCAATCTCTTTTACAAATAAGAAAACTGAGGCTCGTAAAGATTAAGTGACGTGCTCAAAATTAAAGAGACAGTAGCAGTGACATGGGCTAATTCCAAGCCAAACTCTTACACTACACTGCTTCCTAAAATACAAAAACAGAACAGAGTCAAACCAAAGCACAAGTCTATTTTCACATTGAGAATTCGTCTGAACAAGTATGGTTCCATAAGTTAAAAAAGTTAGAATCTTCTTAAAATGTCTACTTTGTAATAAAAAGTTAAGACTTGAACATTCTGGTCTATTAAGTGATTGATTTGGATTTCTAGATATAAAGTAGTGTAAGTTTGTAACTTGTCACTAGGCCTAAGTTAGTTATGTTAAAAATTTAAATCTTCTGCCAAAATATTTCTGGAAATTTGAAATAATAAAAGGAAAATGAATCTGACACTAGTGTATCAGATGAATGGAGAGTGGAAAGAGACCAGAGACAGAGAACAACTAAGAGGTTTTAAAAGGGGGAACTGTTCATAAACTGTCCTAATATATCAAATTGTCAACATTGAAAAAATACCAAGATGCTATGGCCATGACAAATTTACAATTCATCACAAAATCTGGAGTGTAAAGTAACAGTATCTTTTAAAGAAAATTATTCAGAACTTTTTATATTTTATACCAGTATCCTTTTTGTAACTTAATATGTTATATAATAACAAAAGAAATTTTTTGTTGATTTTTTTCTATTTCTGTTCAATAAACAGATTTAAAGGGTTATGACTATAAAATGATAGGGTTTTAAACTATCAATTCCTAACATATCAGAAGCGTGAGAACAATTTAAGAAAACAAGACATTCTTTTTACATGATCAAGAAATCGTGCCAATTGTGGTTCACTAAACTTAAATAGCTACCAATTTGTGGAGGCTCCTGCTTCACAGGAAGTGCAATAGGTGATCTCTGCCGATCCCTGAATGATGATGGCCTTTCTCTTCGATTCTGGGGAGGTGCTGGAGGTCCTGGAGGTCCTGGTTGCCAATAAGGAGGATGAAATCCACCTTGCGGTGGACCAAAAGCAGCCCCATGCTGAAAGAGTATTGCAGTTTATTTTTCTTCACATTAATACAAAATACTCTCTGGGACACACGTGTGTTATGAACTGGGACAGTAGAAATCCATGTGTGCAGCAAATCCAAGAATTCCATGGTTCTAATATCCACCGATATCTCTGTAGCCCCAAGAACCTAGGCTTACTATTCTTAAGAAAGATAAAGATTTTCTGCCTATGTAAATGCAAAGAGCCATCTAAAATTCAGCTAGTACACTATTTCCAAGAAGTATAAGAAAGTATACATATATATATATGACCTTTTTCATTCTGAATCCATTTATAAACTAGTCCTTCCACTACCAAGAAATTAAGTGTCAATTTTTCTGTAACTAGAAAATACAAGAAAAAAATTTTTAAATCAATTCTAAGTTATTTCTTAGGGGAACTTGTTTCTATAATCTTGCAAGAAATATCTATTTTAAACAAAATAAAAGTTATTGAATCATTAAATATTTTTTGCAATTTTGCTATTTTCAGAGGCCTTTCTAAGCCCACTACCAACAGAGCTCTCTGGCTTGTTAGCATAGGGATCCATCAAGATAATAGGGTGTAAAGAGAAGCTCCCTGCCACTACATTTCTTCAAAACCAAACCAAACAAAAACTGTCGTATCTGTATACCAAGTATGAGTATACCACACTTATCTGAATATGTATGAATAAAGCTTACTCTCAAGGTGAATACTGGTTACATTTATGTCCATTATTAATCTAATTAGTGAAATAATGTATGAGTTTTTTCAAAATTTTGAATTATGATCGCTCAGTTTATAAGGTAAACAATGCAATCAGTTATTTCAAAATGATACCTAGCACTGCAGTTTAAAGGTGGACCCTTGGCAGAGTAGTTAGAGAAAATAAAGTCCCACATAATGTTACTATTCCCCATAGAGTTCTATGTCCCTAGGAATGAATTAGATGCTACAAAGGAAATTATGTACAATTCCATTAACATGTCATGTCAGAATGGAAAAAAAAAAGACAGCACTAGAAGTCGTAATTCTACATAGCAGAAGGAACTGCATTTAGGAAGATACTCTGTTCTTCATGTATTTTATTCATGTCTTATCCATAATCTATTATTGACAAATAATGTATTCAACTACTGTGCATTTTCTAAACTTTATTCAACATTTAAATATACCATTTTGAAATTATTAGAAAACAAAACATCATATAGCTATTGCACTTACACATTTTTCATTTTCTCCAAACTTTTCCCTAACAATCCTTTATATCATTCTCCTAAGCAAATCAAAAACCAGAAAATAAGAATCTAATGATTTTAATACCCAAAAATTGATAACTTTTCTAAGACATAATATACCCTTATCTGTACAAGACTGAAAAGTGAAACACAGATCTTAGGTACTCTTGATGAGACACTTCCAAAGAATGGATTACGTGCACATCTACAATATTAAAGCAACAAAATATCTTTCACCTGATAGTCAAACTGGTTCACTGGCCCCACTGCAAAATTATCGGGTGGTCCACCAAAGTTGTGATTGTTCTGGTTAAATATATGCCTGTTGTCAGGGGCAAATTCCCCACTGTCCTGACTGTTGCTGTCTTCGGAAGGAGGAACAATGTCCATTGGGCCTGGTGTTGGTGGCATCCATGGCTGATCTGGAGGGGGGTGTGGGGGCTGCTGATGCATTCCCCATTCTATTTAGGATTTAGGCATAAAAACATTCAACAGGGGGTTATAACAAAATCAACACAAATTTTTAAGATCTCAAGAAAGATTTTTCAGCAAAGAAACAGATTTAAAAATTTATGACTTCTTGGTCAAATTCCTCTTGTATATCTTAAAAATAAGCAATTAATTAAACTAATAAATAATTCAAATGAGCTAACTCCACTTTAATTCATATCCTAAACATATAGAAATGCCTGAAATTATTTTTTTAATAAATGTAACAAAATCCAAAGCAATTTTTTGTTGATTTTTTTCTATTTCTGTTCAATAACAACACCATAAAAAATAACACCTTGAGATTTTATATATAATATTTTTCTTCCATGAACACATTTATCCTCACAACATCCCTGTGAGGTAGGGAGAAATCAGGTATTATTTTTGCCAATTTAAGGAGGGGAAACTGAGGCACACAGAGGTAAATCACTTGCCCAGGTCACAAAGAAAGTCAGTAGAATAAAGTTGGGGAGTGGGAATGCCAGGGTGAGTCATTTATGAATTTGAACTTGGGAACCAAAACATTTTCAAACTTGGGGAAATTTGGTGTAGCTTCAAGAAAACTAGATATAAACTACCTCAGCGTATCAAAGATTAGAATATTCATTATTTTTTTAAAAGTGATGTTAGAGGATTACCTCCTGAATTTTCCACTCTTACATTGAGAAACAATAATAAGTATCAACAGGGAAAGGGAGATTAAAACTTCACCATCAGCATACTCAAATGTAAGATTCCTCTATAAATGTTTTGAAGTGACTATTAAAAATAATAACACAAGACATGGAAAACTGAACTAGCATCAAGAAATCTAAATCATACTGTGAAGTAAAAAAGCAAACAAACAAAAAAGTAAAACAGATAAAAACTTATGGAAGATCTTCACTATCTGAAAAAAAAGGGAAGAAAAAGATGGGTGGATGGTAGGGGCAGAGTATATTTGACAGACTAATTTGTCACATAGTGACACAGTATTTCTTTAATTAGAGACTAGACATGTTTTGCTCTGCCAGTGCTGCTTCTGAAAAGGCCAGAGGTTGCAACAGAGAGACATAGAATGCTCTCTTCCCTAGATGCCAAGTGAGGTTTCCAGTGTTCCCAGCCCCTGTCAGCCTAGGAATGAAGAACCAAGAAAAGAATCAAACTGAGTGCCACAATGCTAGCAGATTGAGTACAGAATAACTTTAACCACAAAATTAATGAAACTGCCTATTCTTTAAGGAGCATTAATTTCAAGAAGTCATAAAACTAAGCAAATTAAACAGTTTAATTTAATCCACATTTTATTTTAAAAATAGTCCTAAAATCTGGATAACATGAAACAACAAACCTGGTTGCCACATTCTGTTAAAGTTTGAATCCCCTTGAAAATTCCCATGATTGTTTGGACCAGATTCCATTGTAGACATATCTTGTCCATTTGGCATCATTCCTGGCGGTTGTTCTACCATACTTTGCTGCCCTGAAGCTTCTCTTTGGGCAATCCAAGCTTGAGCCAATGCAGCCCAGTCAATCTGGCCTAACATAATTTAACATAGCAGAATTTAGCATTCAGAATTTAAGAGCTAAAAGGAATAGTGCCTCTATGTAAAACAACCATCTCAGTTATTCCTTACTAGAGATTTTAAATATTACAGAATGTTATGGCTGAAAGGATGCTTAGAAAATAACCCATATCCAGGCTACAAAATAATTTAACAACTCTACAAAGTAAACACTCTTAACTGAGTTTCTAATATTAACTAATAAGAAATTTATCCCTTGTACCTTAGTCTTTTAAAAGTCTTTTCTTTTTTTTAACTACTGTAAAAACAAACGATCAAACTCACTTCTTCAAACAGGTCCTACCCAGGCCTACACTGGCTCTTAAGACAGGAGAAATACAGTTATCTACCCCTGTTCCTCCTCACCATCACCCTTCTTTACTATGGCTCCCTTCTCTAGTCAAAATACATCTCCTTAGTCATTCTTTACTCAAAATGTATTGCCTTGCTATCTTAAAGGTCCTCTTTCCTTCTCCAATATCTATACATAACATTTTAAGATCTAATATTATAAATAAAGGAAACAAAGTGAAATAAGATGTTTTTTCACATCTCATGAAGATTAAACAGGTATTCTCATACATTTTGGTGGAAACATAAACTGGCATAACCCAGGTGGAGCTGAACTTAAGCAATGTGTATCTAAAACTTTTCAAATGTGCAACACTGATGTAACACACCTAGTTCTGGATTTTTTTTCCTCAGCAAGTAAGTGGACAAGTAACAATGGAATGACATGTATACAAAATTATGGTAATTATTTCAAAAAGTAAAAAGCTACACCCAATCATCCAAAAGTGATTTATTACAGTATAGTCCTATAAGAGAATGCTATGTATTAAAAAAAGAAACAATCAGATTAACCCAATAAAAGCAGGGCAGTGGAAAGGGTCATATCAATGAAACAAAACTGGCCATGAGTTTATAACTATTAAAGCTAAATAATAAATGGGGGCTCCCTATATTCTTTTCTACCTCCATACATGCTTGAAATATTCCATAATACAAAGACATTTTTAAATGATATATATAGCATACCATCAGTTGACCATGAGCTACATAGAATTGTAAGATTTGGAATTAACAAAAGAAGTATGTTTTACTTAAGCAACACATTTAAGGAAGATTTTTCTCTTTCTTTAGGAAAATAAGAACTAAATCAGTTTTGAAAATGTAAAATATTCATAAAGCTTTCTACTCTTTGGGGAAGTCCTCCAAAGAGAAATCCATTCCCTAATATGTATCCTATAGCTGTATTATTTATGAGAAAAGATAAAATTTTGTTCATAAAATGCTCCAATAAATCAATCCCAATTCCATTTCCCTTAATCCCATTGCCTATCTCCCACTCATCTCTATCTTCCCTTCCCCAACTTCCAAATTCAATTTGTTTCCTTACTTGGATCCTGCTGGTGCTGGAATGACTGCATCCACTGTTGCTGGTTCAAGGGCCATTGCTGCCAAGGCTGTCCTCCTTGATCCCACATCCTGCCTTTTAAAATATATTTGATTTTCTACCTTTAACAAAATGAACAGTTAAAAAATGAGAATGAGAGTTCTTTAATTTTAAAAGCTCACACATCAAAAATTATTATAGGATGATACAGTTATGTGATCAGAACTCTAAAATTCTGGTCAATAGGCTGCCAGAGGCAACTGGAATTTTTAGATTGGCAAGCAAGAGTATAAAATTTCATGTTAATGGTGGTGTCAGAGCTTGAGAGCAAGCATAGCTCTAATCAATTTAGCTCAAAAAGATGGGGAAAAAATCTATTTTTTTTCCAATACAGATCTCTGGAAATATAGTTATCTTAAAGATTATAAGGAAAAAAGTGATTTAGTCTCTCCCCAACAAAGACTCCCTACCAAACAACAGCTCCAGCTGAGGAAGGAAAACTCATCCTTATAAATAATTACAGCTAACAAATGCAGAAGTAGAATAGAATTAGAAAATCATATATTACCAAACCTAATGAAACAATTGATTCAGGAAATCTTAAAAGTTGATAGGAAATCAAATTCAAAGGTTGCTGAAATATCACCCCTACAAGACTATCAGGAGTTTCCTCCTGGATATAGTATGTCCCCAGAATCACTATGAATATTTTCACCAAAAATGTCTAACTGAATCCATTTGAGCTTTTGGATCTCACTTCCAGGATAAGGATAAAGAAATTACAACAAACAAAAGAATGACATAAACTGTATCAAAAGAAACAATCAGACAAATCCAGAAGGTGACACAGTCTACAAGACCAAGTTTCTTAACATGTAAATAGCATGGAAAACAAAGGGAGAGAGAATATACGTTAGTAACTACTCAATCTAGGTGATAGGTATGGAGGAGGGGTTTCATCACACTAGTCTACTTTTCCCTAAATTACTTAGAAAACTTTCATAATAAAAAGTTTAAAATTCCTACAAGTCTAGTATATTTGTACTTTATCCAACACTGATATACAACCCTGTTCAAGAACCAATGACACACAGGGTAAGTAGGGTATGTTTTTTCATTTTTGTACCCTAAGGCTTAGCATAGAGCAGGCATTAAATAAATTTTTACTAAATGAATCTTTTTAGACTGACCCTTTCCTCTATTCTAAAAACAAGACAAAAGCAAGCCTCAGCATTGCAGGATCACAAAAAATAAAAAAGCCAGATTAATAAGGAAGTAAGAAATACCCACTCAAATAGGACAACTGGCTGTTAAATTCAGTCTCTTAAGAGTTTGCAGCTCTAGTCTTTGCATTCACAGAATGTTACAGAGTTCTATCAATGGCAGATCCTGACCTTTCAACTGAAGAACACTAAATTAGGAAAGATGCATTCCTTTGTTACCTTGAGTTTCTTACAGTCAAGTGCACTTGACTTCTAGTTACACTAATATAGTCTATTATAATGGCATCATTGGAATATGGCAAAATAGAAACTAAGCAACACCACACATAAGACCAATGACTGGACTGGGTATCAGTTCCAAGCTACATATGCTGCTTCTTCTAATCTCTCTACAGATTTTCTTTCTCCTCTCCTTTTTCCCCTCTCCTCTTTTTCAGTTATGCCTTTAAACGCTTTAAAAGCTAAATGACTTACTAGAACCCTTCACAACTTTAATTAAAAGGTAACAATTAACAAAAGAGGAACACCCAGAAGAGATACCAACTGCTATTTTGACTGACCTCAGAGGTTCACCTTCTGTTTAAAATTTAGGTTGATTCAGACTACAGCTTGGAAGCATAGCAGCAAGATTACTTATGCCCTGAGGGGGGGAAAGAAAAATAGTATATGTTTACTCTTAGATTATGAAGAGTTACTAGAATAAAAATAAATTCTAGAGATGCAACATCAAAGTGTGATCATCTCCAAATTAATCTGGAGCTTTTTCTTCCATTAACTTTACATTGAGAAACTATTTACCATTATAAAGTTAAGGGAAATTGGTACATCACAAATGAGAAAGCAAAACAACATTTTTTTCCTCTCAAAATATCTTTTTATCTACTGGAACAACTCATTAATACAAAATAATGTCAAACAATTTAGGTACTGTCATACATGCTGAGAAAAAATGAACAACAAACATTTGGAAAAAGACGATCTCATCCACCTGGTATTAACTTAAATGGCACAAAGTAATTAAATGCTTTAATTTAGATTTTTCTATAAAATTCTAATTTTAAAAATTAACACCAGCAAGGTGAAAACAAAACGTCCCTCGAACGTTTGCATTTTATTCCCATTAGATCAACAGCTTTTTAAAAGTTGACAGAAAGACAAATGTACTCTTTTTATCTTCCAGCTTCTTGCACACAGCAGTCACTAAATACCAACTGAGAAAATGAACTGTCTCTGGCTCCTTCTATGTACTTTTAAAGGTTATCGATAAGGAAACTGTTGTATTTATGAGAACCAAAAAGCTGGTGTAAGCATGGTTTGCTGTGTTTTCCAAAGCTCTAACGGTATATCAGAACTCAATGTATGTATTTTTCTGTCATAGGTTATAAACTCATACAATGTAGGCATTATAACTAGCTCTATACAGTGCCTCCTAGAATTGCAAAGAGATGTGCATTCAGTAAAACCAGGTTAATGATGAAAATGAGGTGTACTGGGGCACCTGGGTGGCTCAGTCATTAAGCGTCTACCTTCGGCTCAGGTCATGATCCCAGGGTCCTGGGATTGAGCCCCGCATCGGGCTCCCTGCTCCGCAGGAAGCCTGCTTCTCCCTCTCCCACTACTCCTCCCGCTTGTGTTCCCTCTCTCGCTGTGTCTCTCTGTGTCAAATAAATAAATAAATAAAATCTTTTAAAAAAAAAAAAAAGAAAGAAAATTATGTGTACTTACTACCTACCATAATTTCCAATACAGATTTACTTCTCTAAAAAAACCACTCCAAAGTTACTTGCACTTACTCATTTTTAATGGTTGTCATGAACAACTTTTTCAGTTCTCCTTTTTAGTTTCTGACCATCACCTGTAACCTGGACTTCAGAGCACAAGCTCTGGTTCATAATGCCTACCTAAACCATTCACTAGCTATATTAACATGGGCAAATTAACCACTCTCTAATTTTCCATTTTCTCATCTGTAAAACAGAGGACATAGTGTCTACTTAGAGTTCTTGTGAGGATTAAATGAGAAACACATGAAAACTCAGCAAAAGAGCCTTCAAAAAGTAGTGCTTAATATCACCACAAAGACTTTCTCAGTATCATTTTTGATAGCACTCCTCAAGTTTACAAATGGGCTGGGGGGGGGAGCATGGGGTTGGTAATCAAGCCAAGCCATTTTTACTCAACTCTTTTTTCTTCTTTAAAAGCAATTTGAGACTTAATCAGATTTCATTTTATCTTTGGAAAAATATCTTCCTGTCCCTACCTTTCACAAGATCATAAATTGAAGCTTTTATTATTTAAAAAAAAAAAGAAGAAACTTCAAGTTTTCCTATGCTCAATAAGTTTTTACTTGCATATTTTCAACAGATTGATTTGTATTACTTGTAGCCATTTTTGTTTGTTGAAACCAGTCACTTCTACTTTTACTATGTTTTCCAAGGCTTCTTACCCCAAGTTTTTATGGAAGCTACTATTCATTTACAGTGTTTAATACACTTAGGCTGAGAAAAATACGAGAAGAGATCTGAAATTGTGAGAAGCAGAATGGAATAAAAACATAGCAAAGCAGGTGACAGTAAAAGTCAAAGAAGTTAGGAGGTATTTAATAAAATGCTTCAATTAAGTCTGCAGATGAGAAACCTAACTTGGCTACAGAGGATGAGTGCTGAATGAGGGAGTAGGTAAAATACCCAATAGTCTTTTGTAGAGACAATTTAGCGTTACCGTATTTTAGCAAAATTGTAAATGCACATCCCTCTGACCTAGCAATTCCACTTAAAGAACTTGAACCATAGAGGAGTATACTCACCATGTTACCCAAAAACCTACAGCATGTTTATAACTGGGAACATCTGCTTTTAAGATCACTTTTAAGGCCGAGATAAAAGTGAACCATACAGTCAATTGTTATTCGGCCATTACAATGAGTTAGATGGACTTTTATATGCTGACATATACTGATAAATAAACTGCCTTAAGAAGTGAAAAAAACTGGGGTGCCTGGGTGGTTCAGTCATTAAGCATCTGCCTTCAGCTCAGATCATGATCCCAGGGTCCTGGGATCAAGCCCTGCACCAGGCTCCCTGCTTGGCGGGAAGCCTGCTTCTCTCTCCCCCACTCCCCCCCTTGTGTTCCCTCTCTTGCTGTGTGTCTCAGCAAATAAATAAAATTTTTAAAAAAAAAAAATGTGTGATACATTATGAATAATGACCCCACTTTCCCACTTGAGGTTTTTTCTTATTAAGAATGCAATTTAGGGGCACCTGGGTGGCTCAGTCAGTTGGGCATCTGCTTTCGGCTCAGGCCATGGTCCCGGGACCCTGGGATCCAGCCCCGCACTGGGCTCCCTGCTCAGCGGGGAGCCTGCTTCTCCCTCTTCCTCTGCCTCTCCCCCTGCTTGTGCTCTCTCTCTGTGTGAAATAAATAAAACCTTTTTAAAAAATGCAATTTAGGGGTGCCTGGGTGGCTCAGTCAGTTAAGCATCTGCCTTTGGCAGGGTCCTGGGAGCAAGCCCAGCGTCAGGCTCCCTGCTCATCGGAGAGCCTCCCTCTCCCTCTACTGCTCCCCCTGCTTGTTCTCTAATAAATAAAATCTTAAAAAAAAAAAAAAAAGAATGCAATTTAGGGGCGCCTGGATGGCGCAGTCACTTCTGACTTTTGGTTTCTGTTCAGGTCATGATCTCAGGGTTCTGGGATCAAGACCCATGTGAGGCTCCACGTTCAGTGCAGTCTACTTAAGATTCTCTCTCCATCTGCCCCTCCCTGCCCCCCCAATAAATAAATCTTAAAAAAAAAAGAATGCAATTTAGTATAGAAAATTCCTAAAATTACAAAAAAAGTTTAAAAACTGGTAAGCTCTAGGAAGTGAAAACAGAGATCAGGAAATGTTAATTATTTTATATCTTTGTATTCTTTGAATGATTTTACCATGAGTATTTTTATTTTTTTAAAAGATCTTTTTGAGAGAGCGAGTGAGAGCAAGCAGGAGAGGAACAGAGGGAGCGGGACAAGCAGACTGCGTTGAGGGCAGAGCCTGATGTGGGGCTCAATCCCATATGCCTGAGACCATGACCCAGCCAAAACCAAGAGTTGGATGCTTAATTGAACCACCCAGATGCCCCATGAGTGTGTATTTTTACTTTTTTTTAAAGATTTTTATTTGTCAGAGAGAGAGCACACAAGCAGGCGGAGAGGCAGGCAAAGGGAGAAGCAGGATCCCCAGTGAGCAAGGAGCCCAATGTGGGACTCAATCCCAGGACCATGGGATTATAACCTGAGCCAAAGGCAGATGCTTAATTGACTGAGCCACCCAGGTGTCCCAAGTGTGTATTTTTAAAAATAAGTCTATAGGTCTTTAAAGAATCAAAGGAAGCTGATCAGCACAGTCATTGATACAGGCAATAAACATCACACAAGTAATATAACCATGAGACTTTGGACAAATTAGCTGACCTCTGTCTCATTTTCTTATGAAGGATTTGGAATAAATTTCTATAATCTAGTCCAAAAAGGGTATCTCTGGTCATGAGAATAAAATATACAGTTATACTGAATTTTGTAAAGGGACAGATTTTAAGAAAAGACTTAGTATACTCAAATATTTAATATAAATTTTTATATGTTTCAGCATTTAGCACAATGCTTAAGGATTTCATCAATTATTTCTTGATTAAAGAACATGACTGATTATAAGTGATTTGATAGCAAGGATTTAGAAACCCCACACTTTCTTCATCTTCACCATATAATCTTCTTTACTCACTAATAAACATAACAACTGCAAAATCTGGAAAACAGGAATATGGAGGCACATATGGCAATAATAAAAAAAATTATCTTGTAATTTCAGTATTTTTCAATGAAATAACAGCCCTATATCCTAACAGCCTTGTAGCCTTAAAACTGACATTTAAACATTGGTTTAATAATGACTTGGAAAATACTGATAACTGTGAGTGATAAGTACACTAGGGTTCACTACACTCTACTTTTGCACTGTTTGAAAATTTCCATAATAAGTTAAAGATGATGCAGTATACAGTTATAGAGACTTACAATGAATTTTCATTTTTTTTCTTTCTCCAAGCAAGATCTTCTTTAGGGCAGAGTCTTAAAATTATTTGAATTCTCCATGGTGCTTTGCCCATATTAAGAAGTGAAATACTTTACTCTTCACTAAAATTTATTAACAAGTAAGTACACCAATATTCAATGAAGAAAGTAACACTTATTACTGCTATTCTGATTTTATAACATCAAAAATCAACTCCAAATTTGTCCTTCCTTTAGCCTTAATTTTAAAGATCTCAGGCTCAACTTCTCAAATCTGGAAAATTTGATTATAGATCAGCCAGGCTGGAAGCCTTTCCCTTTATGGGATTAAATTAACTGCTATTTCCTTGGAAACAACTGGGATTTAGGAAAAACTGAAAGACCAATAACCATGGATTGCATCAGATGATCCAAGTTATCACATATGGCTGGAAAAATCTAGTTTCTGACTATGACCAGTGTTATGGCTTGAACTGTGTCCCCTTAAAAAAGATATGTTTAAGTCCTAGCCACACTCCCATAAACTATGAATGTGACCTTATCTGGAAATGGGTCTCTGCAGATGTATTCACGATGTGAGGTCACACTGGATTAATGTAGGTCCTAATCCAGTGATTGCTGTCTTTATTAGAGACACAGACATACACAGAGAGAACACCATTATGACCACAGAAGCAGAGACTGGAGTGATGTGTCTACAGCCAGGGAAAACCAAGGACTGCCGGGAACCACCAGACGCTAGGAGGAGACAAAGGGGCAAGGAAGGATCTTCCTCTAAAACAGGGGTGGGGAGTTGGGAGTGGAGCAAGCATGGCCCTGCAGAAACCTTTATTTCAGACTTCTAGCCCAGAGAACTGTGAAAGAATAAATTTCTGTTGTTTTAGGCCACTCAGTTTGTGGTAATTTGTTATAGTATCCCTAAGAAACTAACACAATGAGAAATGATCATTTATCTTATCATTTCTGAGATGACTCTGTATTAAAATATTGCTCTGGGGTTCTTTTTTTCTTTTAAGATTTTATTTATTTGAGAGACAGAATGAGAGAGAGAGCGAGCATGAGAGAGGGGAGGGTCAGAGGGAGAGGAGCCCGATGCGGACTCGATCCTGGAACTCCCAACACGTGAGCCAAAGGCAGTTGCTTAACCAACTGAGCCACCCAGGCGCCCTGCTCTGGGGGTTCTTAAAATTACTTGTTTAAATGACAATCATTAATATTTGCAAAAGTCCTCTCATAGACTGAGAAAGATGAATGAGGATGAAAATGTAGTGTTTTGTTTTAAAGCATTTAGCATCAAAAAAAAAAAGGGGCACCTGGGTGGCTCAGTCGGTTAAACATCAACTCTTGATCTCAGCTTAGGTCATGATCACAGGGTTGTGAGATGGAGCCCTGCATCAGGGTCCACACTGGAGGGCATGGAGCCTACTTAAGATTCTCTCCCTCTTCCTCTGCCCCTCCTCTCCTTGTGTGTGTGTGGGGGGGGGGGCATGCGCGCATGTGCACGCACTCTCCCTCTCTCTAAAAATAAATAAATAAAGCACTTAAGCATCAACTGCAAAATCAGAGATACAGAAACACATCTATGCTTTGATCCATATGGTGAAATGTTTCTCACATCACATACACAGTTTAAAAAACCACAAAATGCAACAAACTTCTTCTCCCCTGCCATTTCAACCCTACATACCAGCTGACTGACCTCAAAGTCAAAAGGAATTAATTTGTTCAATTCAGGTTAGGTGGAAATGGCCCCAGTAAAGGCTAACCTTATAATCATGTGAAATGTAGTAAAAAAGAAAAAAAAAAAAAACTTTTGCTACTTGATGGGACATACATTTTAGTATATATTTAAATACTTTGCAGCTTGTAGATCAGAAGAGGCACTCAAAAAACATTGGAGAATTGGACAGTTTGGATATAGATACAAAAAAAAGTGATAATTGAAAAATACATGTACAGAGAGCAAGCGAGCCTAAAGGAAACAACACCCCAGTGGCAGAAAGCACACATATCTTGGTTCTAATACCATTCTCCAATAAAAGGAATCAGAATCCTTAGAGAAATAACTGATTCTTCAGACTGAGATAAAAAAATATACAGAAAGTCTGGAGCATCTTATAGTGCCAAGAAGTGCTAAAAAAATTTTTTTTTAATTAAAAAATTAAAAGGATGGGGGCATTTCACTGTAGACAACTGAAAAAGCTCCCAATGTCCAGAGCTGGAACAGTCTGAGCAACAAGATAAAGTTAACATTGGCTTATAACACAAATTATACATAAATATCTCATGTGTCCATACTGATATAAATAAATGATTAAGTAAATTGGCAGGGACAGACAAATCTCCCATGCAGAGGAATTCCAAATAAATTATGTAGCTACTCCACCCTAAAGGAGGGAGAACATAACTCTCTAATCCTCAAATGTAGACTGTGCAAAAGGACTTCCTTCCAATGAGTACAGTATGGAAAGGAGGAGGTGGATAGAAGGGAGTAATTTTTACAGTGGAGAAACTTGACAAACACTACTTTAAGCAGGTGATCAAGGTCAGTATCAATGTGATAAATCACATTCCTATTATATACCCTTGATAGGATATTCTGAAAAAGGCACTGCTTCTCTGCAATCTTCCTCTCCAAAACCCCTACTGCCAGTCTTACCATAAGAAAAACATCAAATTCCAGTAGGAGGGCACCCTACAATATACCTGACCAGTAATCCTCAAAACTGTCAAGGTCACTGTATTAAGTTTGCTAGGGCTGCCATAACAAAGGACCACACACTGGGTAGCTTAAAGAACAGAAATTTATTTCCTCACAGTTCTAGAGGCTAGAAGTCCAAGATTGAACTTGGACAGCAGGGTTGGTTTCATTTGAAGGCCTCACTCTTTGGCTTATAGATTGCTGTCTTCTACATCTTTACATGGTCTCCCCTCTGTGTCCTAATCTCTTCTAATAAGGACACCAGTCATTAGGGATTAGGGCCTACCATAATGACTTCATTTTACTTCTTTAAAGACCCTATCTCCACATATGGCTACTTCTGAGGTACTGACTTCAACATATGAATTTTGGAGGGACACAATTCAGCCTGTAACAGTCATCAAAAACTAAGAAAGCATGAAAACTGTCATAACCAAAAGAAAGCTAAGGACACATGACAACTTAACATCTATCCTAAATGGAATCCTGGGACAGAAAAAAAACAGTAGGTTACAACTCAGATTATATGAATAAACTACAGACTTTAGTTAATAATAATGTGCCAATATTAGTCATTAATTGTAACAGATACAGCATACTGACCTATACTAATAATAAACTGTGTGTGTGTAAGGCGGGGGTGTTTATATGGGAACTCTGTACCATCTGCTCAATTTTTCTGTAAATCAAAAACGGCTTTTAAAAATAAAGTCTATTAATAATTTTTTTAAAAAAATACAGTCTCATGAATATCTTCAAAGAACCAGTTTACTGTTACTATCCCTATAGCCCCACAATAGTCCTACAAGTGACTCTTTAGTGCTTAAGTTTGTTTTCACTTTTGCTTAGCTGCACTCAAGTCACAAATTACAAGTTTATTTCGCTCTTCTATGAATTACCCATCAACAATCAAAATCTGTCGAATGCCCATGATGTTCAGATAACAATATTCACCACAAGGTAACTGAAATGTTGGATAGACTCTTTCCCTCGTAAACCTTAACACATAATGTCCATCACTGGATAAAAACACAACAAAATTACAAACTAGGGAACCTAACTGTAGTTAACAGGACGCATTTGCCCTTGGCTGCGCCTGCGTAGTCGAACTACACAGCGCAAAAGGTCCAGGTCCGGCCCCCGCCTCCTCGGCCCCCTAGCACCCCCTCCCCATTAGGGGGTTCCCACTGCGCACGCGCAGTGCTTAACGGCCGGTCAGGAGCCCAACAATTAGTCCCTTCTCACCCGAGAGAACTCATAGTTAAGAGGAAGGGGTCGTGAACATTCTCTTTAATAACAACATTTCCTTTTCACTGAGAGCACAGCTCTGACTCACCAAGTCGGGCGGACACCGCCGCTTTAAGGAGATGAGGTTCCAGCGGTCGCGCCAAGCAGCGTACGCAGCCTACGTGTTTAAGTTATGCTAGCTTCGCCACAGAAACCAAGAAGGCTGTAATGGCCTGCGAAGTCCCCACGCGTAACTGTTCTCCACCACTTACCCAGTCTGGTTCCGGAACACCGTTGTCGCCACCGTTCCTGCAATACCTCTCCAAACCTTTCGATGCTTCTACTTCTTCACGAACAAGACAAGATGGCGCCTGATTGGTTGCACCCGGAAGTGAATAATAATAACATCCGCTTGTCATCTGAAGCCATATTGTCCCCTAGCCTGGTCTTTGAGCACGTGACTATACCCAGTTAACTTGTCTCGATGCCATTTTTGTTTTGGGCAAAGCCCTCGGCCCTTCGTAATCAACACCGTGCAAGTGTCTGAACATTCCTGTAGGATACCTCTTGAGTCATGCTGAACCCGTTTTCATCTTTACAGTAGCCAGAAAGCCAGGAGCTTAAGTGTTCAGTACAAAACGCCCTCATTTTTTTTTTTTTGACTTTAGTAACGTGATCCTCCTTCAAGGGGAAGTATGTTCCCCGCCAGGAACGTTTTCGCTTCGGAAAAGGGGGGCTGAATTCGCGGCGCTACTTTCAGACTACGGAGAGGCGTCAGGGTCAAACTGAACCAACTCCGGCGGCCTGCTCGGTACGCCCAGAGCGGCATTTCTCTCGTCGGAACTTGTGGAGGACTCCAGGCTTCGGTCTTACAGAGCGTCGCTGACGGCTACGCCTCAAGGAGACCGGACGTTAGTGAAATGGCCAAGCTAGATGGTAGCGACTGCACAGACCTTAACTGAACCCGCGGCGATTGCTCTTTGTTAACCTCAAAACATCGCGCCCCCTTCCGGCGATATTTGCTCAGCTCTACGTCACCCAGTTAGTCCCGATATTTCGTTCTTTACCCGTGACCCTTACGGAAAAGTGGGGAAATCAGTTTCTGTCCTGTTATTCCTGCCTCTCGACTACAAGATGGCCTCCCGAAAGGGTTTATGCAGTGCAATTCCTCGAATAGAATACTTCGATTGCGTGGTGTTTTAATATGAACATTAAAATATCAAAAGTATCTATTTCCAGGCCAGGAGCTACAAGTTACAAGGAAAACAAAATTTTTACGAAGATACGGTATTTATTTCTCAACTAAATCTTGGAAGGTGCCTTTCTACAGAGTAACTTTTGCGTGACTGAAGAGTGAACCAAGTTATTTCACTGGGAATTGTGTAAAAAAAAAAAGGCAAAATACAGTAGAAATAAAGTTAAGTGCTTCTATTTATTTTTTATTTATATATATATATTTAAAGATTTTATTTATTTGACAGAGAGACACAGCTAGGGAGGGAACACAAGCAGGGGGAGTGGGAGAGGGAGAAGCAGGTTCCCGGCTGAGCAGGGAGCCGGATGCGGGGCTCGATCCCAGTGACCTGAGCTGAAGGCAGACGCATAAGGACTGAGCCACCCAGGCGCCCCAAGTTAAGTGCTTCTAGATGGATAAAGAAGATAAAAATAGATGTGAGAATATAGATGCCATTTGCATGAAATTCAGTCTTCCTTAATAAAACACTTGAAACCTTGATACTCCTGGATGAGCATTAGAAGAAAGTCCTCAATCCCTAAAGGTGTGCTGGTCCTCAAATCCAAGTGGCCTTTGAAATAAAATTTTATCTTGGGAGAAACGCTTACAAATTACACCTGGCAACACCATGATGCGAGTGCATGAATATTAACTACAGGATGCAAAATTTCCATTCTTTTAGACCTTTTCCCTAATTTCCACGTAGCACAAAAAGATACACAGCAGTCCAATAGACTTTTAAAATCACTTGTGGAAAAAAAAAATAGCACATATACCACAATTTATCAGTGGTTATCTCTGATTTTGGTCTGTGATTTTATTTTCCAGATTTTTTTGCACAGGGACTGATTTTCCAATTTGTTTCTCTGAGAAATTCTTTTTTTTTTTTTTTAAGATTTTGTTTATTTATTTGACAGA